CAGTGTGCAGTGATCAATTTGCTGAAATTCACCAATTCTGTCAATTTACCAAAATTTTGTTTCTTTTAGTTATGTGTAAAGTTTACAACAATTTGCATGGTTGGGTGGATTTTAGCTACTTGTGAAGGTTTCTATAAAGTATCAGCTGACTAATTTGAAGTTTAGTTTAGCTTAGTTTTAGTTTTAATTTATTTGTAGCTGTTTCAGTGAAGTTATTTTGCCGTTGTTGGCCAAAGTTCAGTGTATTCTAAGTTTTTCCTTGCTTTGAATCTATGACTTTTGGGAATGAGAATTTCTTGTGTATTTTGCTCCACAAGTGTTGTGCAATGACTCAAATGTCAAAAATTTTATAAACAACCACTGGGGAGGGGGATTTTTCTTTTCCAAAACATTTTTCAATCCAATAATTTGCCTTTCTTTATCTTTTTTTTTTTTTTTTTGCATTTGTCATTTTAATAGATACATAGGTGGAGACTGAAATATGGCCAGACTGTATTTCCATGCTGGTTGGTAAATGCTATTAACAGTTACTACAATAAATGACAGAATTAATTATATAAAGTCTATTATTAACCCATTAGTTCAAGATAATTGTTCTTAGATGTTGCCAAGACTGATAAATAGGCCCCGTGCCATAGTGACATGTAAGAAACATTTATAAAATTTCTGCTGGCCCATTCATATCACAATAGGAAGAACACTTTAGGAAGAGCTATGCTTATTCTTATCCTTGATTATATAGTTGTTACTACTTCTAAATATAGTCACTTTGATTTTATTTTTTTATTTCTTTAACAGTTTTATTGAGATACAATTTATATACCATAAAGTCCATCCTTTAAAAATATATAATTTACAGTTGTTTTTAGTACATTCACAAAGTTGTATATCCATTAGCACAATGAGATTTTAGAATATCTTCATTGCCCATAAAGAAACCCCACATCCAGTAGCAATTACTCTCCATTCCATCCTACTCTCAGACCCTGGCAACCAATAATCTACTTTCTGTCTTCATGGATTTGCTTATTCTGAATATTTTATATGTGATTTTTTGTGTCTGGCTTTTTACACTTACCATGCTTTGAGGTTCATTTATGTTGTGGTATGTATCAGTACTTTATTCCTTTTTAATGATGGATAATATTCCATTGTATGTCTATATCATGTTTTCTTTATTCATTCATCAGTTGATGGACATTTAGATTTCCCCCCACTTTTTGGCTATTATGAATAATGCTGCTATGAATCTTTGTATACAAGTTTCTGTGTGGGCATATCTTTTCCATTCTTTTGGGTATATACCTAGGTGTGGAACTGCTAGTATGGTACATATTTAGTTCTAAGTTTATTTTTTTGAGGAAATATTTGAGGGGATGTTGCCAAGCTCTTCTACATCTGCTGCACCAATTTACATTTCCACTAGGAGCATATGAAGGCTCCAATTTCTCCACATCTTCACCAACATTTGTAATTGTTCATTTATTTATTTTTTAATGTTTAAATTGACAGTTTATGTACAACATTAAATTAGTTTCAGCTGTACAACCCCCATGATTAGATATTTATATAACTTACAAAGTGGTCACCCTAATAAATCTAGTATACACTTGATACCATATATAGTTATTACCATATTATTGAATATATTTCCTATGCTGTACTTTACATTTCTATGACTATTCTGTAACTACCAACTTGTAGTCCTAAATCCCTTTACCTTTTTTACCCATCCCTCCAACGCCTCTTCCCTCTGGCAACCATCAAAATGTTCTCTGTGTTTGTCGGTCTGTGTCTGTTCTGCTCGTTCATTGTTTTGTTTTTGAGATTTCAATATAAGTGAAATCAATTGGAATTTGTCTTTTTCTGTCTGACTTATTCCATTTAGCATAATACCCTCTAGGTTTATCCATCTTGTTGCAGATGGCAAGATTTCATTCTTTTTTATGGCTGAGTCATATTCCATTGTATATATGCACCTCTTCTTTATCCATTCATCTACTGATGGACACTTAGGTTGATTCCATATCTTGGCTATCATAAATAATGCTGCAATAAAAATATGGATGTATATGCCTTTAATTTAGCATTTTGGATTTCTTCAGATAAAAATTCAGAAATGGAGTTGCTGGGCCCTTCTATGTCTCTTGTTACAGCCTGATTTGAAGTCTATTTTGTCTGATATAAGTATTGCTACTCCAGCTTTTTGTTTGTTTGTTTTCATTTTCATGGATGTATTTTTCCATCTCTTTACGTCTGTGTGTATCTTTTGATCTGAAGTGGGTCTCTTGTAAACAGCGTATTTAATGGTATAGTTTTGTTATGTCTCTTGATTGGATCATTTAATCAATTTGCATTTAAAGTAGTTGTTGACAGATATGTATTTATTGCCATTTTATTATTTGTATTTTTTATCTTTGTTTTAAATTATTATTCTTAAAGAAGACCCTTTAATGTTTCTTGTAACACTGGTTTGGTGGTGACGAACTCCTTTAGCTTTTTTTGGTCTGGGAAGTGCTTTATATGTCCTTTGATTTTATGATAGCTTTGCTGGGTAGAGTAATCTTGGTTGTAGCTCCTTGCTTTTCATCACTGAATATTTCTTGCCAATCCCTACTGGTCTGCAAAGTTTCTGTTGAGAAGTCATCGGACAGCCTTATGGGAGCTCTCTTGTAGGTAACTAGCTGCTTTTCTCCCATTCTATCAATTGTCTTTTTAATTTTCTTGATGTGCTTTGAATCATGAAAGTTTTTCATTTTGATATAGTCTATCTAATTTTTCTTTTGTTGCTTGTGCTTTTGGCATCATATCTAAGAAATCATTGTCTAATTCAAGGTCAAGATTTACTGCTATGTTTTCTTATAAGAGTTTCATAGTTTTAGCTCTTAGATTTAGATCTATAATACATTTGAGTTAATTTTTGTATGTGGTGTGAGGTAGGGGTCCAAACCTATTCTTTTACATGTGGATATCTAGTCCTAGCATCATTTGTCAAAAAGACTGGTCTTTCCCTATTTAATTTTTTTGCATATTGTCAAAAATACAATTAACCATAAATGTTACAGTTTATTTCTGAACTGTCAATTATATTCTATTGTCCTATATGTCTATCCTTATTTATGCCAATACCATACAGTCTTGATTACTTTGTAGAAGATTTAAAATTGGGAAGTATGAGTTTTCAAACTTTGTCCTCCTTTTTTCAAGGTTATTTAGGCAGTTCTGGGTCCCTGTAATTTCCATATGCATTATACTTTTGGTTGGGTAATTTCTGGAAAAAAAAAAAAAAAGGCAGCCATTTTTTGATAAATAATGTTGAATTTGTAAAGCACTTGCGGGAGGACTTCCATCTTAATAATATTAAGTCTTCCAATCCTCGAACATGTGATATACTTACATCTATTTTGGCATTAAAATATTTCCCTCAATAATGTTGAGTAGTTTTCAGTGTATAAATCTTGTATTGTTTTTGTTAAACTTATTCCTATGCATTTTGTTCTTTTTGATATTGGAAATGGAATTTTATTAATTTCATTTTTGGATTGTTTCTTGCTAGGGTGTATAAATGCAATTGATTTTTGTATAAAATTAATTTTTGGATATTTATCTTATATCCTGTAACCTTGCTGAATTCCTTTGTTAGTTTTAATAGTTTTTTGGGTGGATTCCTTTGGATTTTCTATATACAAGATCATGTCATCTACAAATAGAGACAGTTTTACATTTTCCTTTCCAATATAACTGTCTTGTCTTTCTTTTTCTTGTTTAACTGCCCTGGTAGAACCTCAAATACAATGTTGAATGGAAGTAGCAAGAATGGACTTCCTGGTTCTGTTCCTGATTTTAGAGAGAAAGCATACAGTCTTTTAATACAAAGTATGATTCTAGCCATGGGTTTTATCATACATGCCTTTTATTATGTTGAGAAATTCCCATTATTCCTAGGTTATTGAGTGTTTTAATGAGGAAATTTGTTAGATTTGGCCAAATTACTTCTCTGTGTCTGAGATAATTGTGCTGTTGTTTTTTATTCTGCAGAGCTTTAATGCTGTGCTCCCCATGCTGGGCTACGCCGTGGTGTGAGTGCCAAGGTATCTGTGAGCCACAGCGTGAATGAGGCTCATCTTCCTAGAGCATCAGTTTTGCCAGAAGTTTTTTTTTGGTGTGTGTGTGTGTGTGTGTGTGTGTGCAATGTACAATATCTAAGTTTTAAGAACTGAAAACACTACTTTTATATTGTGGAACACAATGCAAAATGCCAGAACAGTTTAAACTCCTTTCCTCAAAATATAGGCACACAGACCATTGTTATTATTAGAGAATCCCAAGTATAACTACCACGTTCATACCTGAGAGTTAGAGACATGAATTACGATATGTCCCTGTATTTGAAGGCATGGAGGGGGAAGCCTTCAGGGTGCAGATGCTATCCAGTGGTGAGCAATGGGAAGTCAGCACTGCAGGAAGTTCTCTTTCAGATGAAGTAAGAGGAAACCGGGGAGGAGAGGAGTTAGTGAGCTTTGAATACCAAGCTAGGCTGAGAACTTTGTTCAGTGCATTGTCAGCCAATGGATTTTTTGAGAAGCCTATTCTGTCCCACGCTCTCTACTGGGTGGCACGGGAGTGAATTAGATACATTGCTTAAGCTCAAGGAGCTCACTGTCTAGTGAAGGGTGCCTAACAATGTAATTGTGCTGTGCCGCAGTGCAGGATGTACAGTGTGAAACTGGACCACTGGTGAAGTGCGTAACTTTGCTCGGGGAATTCAGTGAATACTTCATGAAAGACGCATCATTTCAGCTTTTGGCTGTCTTGGAAAATGTACAGGTATTTTCTGCCTGTAGGCTGGTGAGAAAGATTTCATAAAACAGGAACATGAAACGTGTGGGAAATGAATTAGATACACGCTTACATTCTTGACGGTCATTACGAGCACTTCAGCCCCTGGAGAGGAAGCAGCCCATTTCTTTAGCCTTGGAATACACAGCAGTGTAGCTTAGCACTGTCCCTGCACACAGCACCGTTTATTGTTTTGTAAGGCTCAGCCTGAGAGCTGAATATGTCACAAACAACATGCAGCTTACTCTTCATCATTGAATAAACTTATACTGAGCTATTATGATTCCGGTCCTTTAGTAGGAATAGAGTTATCCAGAAGAATGAGTCCCAGTTTCTGGCTTCAGCTCAGTTGAGGGAAGGATATCAGTCAAGCAGATAGGCATTGGTGATACAGTATGAGGAAAGCTTTGATAGGTGTATGATCTGAGGACCCTAGCTGCTCACAGGAAGGGACCTTGCCACATTTGGAGGGTGAAGTGGAAGTTGGAGAAGGCCTCAAAAAAGCGACTTCTGAGCAGAGGGTGAACAGCTAGGAGGTAAATTAAAACAGACCAAGCATTATAGTAGAGGTAACATCATACACAACAGTATGTGTTCAGAACATAACAAGTAGTTTCCTATGAAGGGTGGAAGCAGATAATGGTAGGAGATGAGGCTGAGAAGTAGCTGAGACCTAGCCATGGAAGCCTTGGTGTCAGGATACAAGCCTGCATTTTATCCAAAAAGGCAATGATGAGTCACTATAATTAGTGCTGGTTGAGAACAGTGTTTTTCAGAAAAGGCTGTAATCCATTAGTGAGCTGTAAAGTCAATTTACTGAATTGGGACCAGTGTTTTTAAAAAGTCGACTAGGAAAGAAAAGAAATATTAGTGTGCACATTTGTGAAGGTAAATATTTTGTGATGACTTTGTTTCAATTATATATGTATGTTAATATTGTGTCCTGAGGTAAAATGCTTTTTGATTTGTGGATCACATTAAAAAAATTTTTAAGAGACACTAAAGGTTCAACAAAAATTAGTTTAGGCCTGTCCATCACTGAACGTACCATGATTGCTTTACAGTGATCTGAGATGGATGTTTGGGAACCAACCCACTGTAGGGAATGGTAATACAATGTGGTAAGTTTAGTGGATTATGGAAACACTGTAGTGCACCTAGGTTCATAAAGTAATGAATTTAGGTGTGTGGATGGTGAGAGGAGCCACCCAGGAGATGCCAAGTTTGTGTACAGCTAGGTAGGTAAAAAGGAAGGCTTTCTGGGTGGTAGAGACTGCATCAACAAAAGGTGGTAAGGGGAGCTATTCATAGAGAAAGTCAAAATAAGGACTTCCATGCTTCTGGCACATAAAAATAGAGGGAATGGGGATGCAGCTCGAATAGTGACTGTACGCCTATTCACTGAGGGGAGTCATCGTAAGGGAGCTGGACTCTTCCTATAGGAAAGGAGGAGCTACTGAATATTAAGCAAAGACTTAAGATACCAGATTTCTATCACTGGCTGCAGTGTGGAGGGAGGCTATTGCAGTAATCCAGGAGAGATGTCTCAGATGTCAGACTGGGGAGAGAGCTGAGTGCAGATTTCAGAAACATTATGGAAATAAACTCCATGTGACTAGTGAATTTGACTGTAGATGAGTGCAAGGAAACAGTCCTGGCTTTTGTAGTTGTCTGTCTGGATACTGGGTTTATACTGTGTCATTGATCTGCTGAGGCTAGAGTTCATTAATTTCTGAAGGGAGTGGGCATAACCCAACCTTGCAGTAAAAAACTGGAGCCCAAGAACCTCTGAGTATAGAGATTCCAAAATGCATCCGGGTACCTCTCTTGAGGGTCTGAAATTTCTTTAAGAGGTGGCTGGATGGAACTGAGGGCAAATTCCAACAAGTGGGGTAAAAAGTTATCATTTACAGGCCAGATTAGTAAAGTTGATAGTGTTATGTCCCTTGTGTCGTCCCTGAGCCTTTTGTAAATGTTTTAGGATTCATGCACTCTTATTTAGGCCAAAATATTAAAGGGAATGAAATGTCCTTTGACACCACTGTGGCATTGGTTGTGGGCCATTAGATTGTAAACTCCTTGAAGGGACAGGTTGTTTCTTCTCAACTCTGTATCTCCAGTATCTAGCCCAGGGCCTGACACATGGCAAACACTTGATAAAGACTGTATCCCTAGTGCCTAAATGGATGATGGGTACTAGCAGATGCTTAATAAGCTCTTAGGGAACTGCTGAAAGCTCCAAAGGGGGGTATATTTCTGGGACTAAGAGAAAAAGCTTACAGCCAGCCACAATCTACCTATTACCAATAATACTTAAAGATGTGGTTTTAATATTAAGAAAAGTGCTTTCTCTAGAGGTCAGGAATGGCTCCAAGTTATCTAGCTGAGGTGAATGTTCAAGCCAAAAAGACAGGAAGGGGATGAATTTTTGGGCAGAAGAATTCATAGTTGCAGGTTTATTTAATAAATGCTTTGAGTGTCTCGTATGTCACTTGAAATATGTCAGAAAGAGTTTTCTGGTAATAAGGTTTGGACAAATTGGAGCAGAGGGAGATGGAGAACCCTATTGGGAGTAGATGTGTCAGACTAGAGAAGCTGCAGTGAAATAGCACAATAGCTGTCACTGAAGCTATGTCTACCTGCTAGATCAGTGACATCTTCACCTTCACCCTTATTATCTCAGACAATGGGTGGGTTTAGTGGGCCCAATACATTCTGTAGGTCCAGCCTAAGATAATGTTTTCTTTATACCCTCTTGGGGATATGAGAACATCAGGTCCTGCTACCAAGCACTTAGGCTGGGATGATGGCACCAAGTCTTCCCATGACTACCACCCTAGTCAAACCTCTGTGGGATGGGCAGCCTGACTCGGCCAAGTATGGCTTCATAGTAATTTGTGGATATAAAGGAGCTTCCTACTTCTCATATGCCCTGGCCATTGTGAAGCCAGATTTCCTCTTTGAGTTCCCAGAGAGGCCCAAATTTGACAATAAAAAATTTTCAGGAAATTCCCAGCAGTTTGAACTTCCGGATCCTCCTCCCACTTCAACCCTGTCCTTAACTCTCCCTTCCCACCTCCCTTCCACCCCAAGGGAAGGGAGCGTATCCTGGAGTCCAATATCCTCTGCTCAATTCTTGTACTCCTTTGGCCAGGATAGTAATACATCTGAGTCCTCAGATCCTCTCCTTTGAGGCCCATTCAGGGCTTGAGGGGAGCACATGAGGGTAATATGTGATCCTGCCTAGAAACAGAGGAATGGTTGTAGTGTTCCTTGAAGGTTCTCAGAGTACCAGGCTCTTACGGAAATTTCACTTCTAGATGTTCACTCTCTGACCCTTGTCAGGAAGTAATTTTTCCCTAAGAAGTCCCAGAGGCTCAGTTTCTATGCTAGATGTCATAACTCAATCACCTTTGGGGGGCAGTTTAGAATTACAGGGTACATGCCTCATATAAACCAACATTAAGAAAAACAAAACTGCGCTAACCCAATAAAACCTGGATTTAAGAGCCAGATATATATGCTGTGGATTTACTATCCCATGCAGACAGAGCACTTGGATAGTTCTTGGTCTCAGAAATCCCAAAGGAGAGAAAAAACACACACCTGTTTACATATATTCATACAAGGAATTTTACCTATTATGCAAAAAGAGGGTTATCTACCTCCCCAGACAGTTCTGGGCTCCATTAAGGCTGTCCATTTCACAACTCTAGCTCCAGTTCTTCTTAAAGATGAAGAGATCCAAAGGCCTATGATCATGGGCTACACACCCTTTGGCTCCAGTTAAATCCTTGGAATTTGAGGTGTGTGGGAACTGCAGATGCTTGCTTCCTGGTCCTGCCGCAGCCCCACAAGTAGCTGGTTGAGGAGTGTAAGGTTGCTGTCTCTGCGAGGCACGGGCAGGGGTGGCAGGCAGTTCCCTTTATACTCAATCACTGCCATCTTAGCCCGATCCTGCTTATTCCGATTTGGTATCTGCAGCATTCTCGTGTAGCCCCCATTCTGACCTTGGTACCGAGGGGCCAGTACTTGAAACAGCTTTGGGATCAAGTCTTTCTCCTAGAGGGGGAAGAGTTATCCAGAAGAGAGCAGTCAGGCACCACTGCAGAGACATTTAGCTTTCAGCACTCTCCAAACACCACCCCCAGACTCCAAACCCCTCCCTCTCCCCTCAATGTGGCAGTCACAGTTACACAGAGTCAGTTACATGCAGATATGCAGATTTAGATTTACATCGAATTCAAGGCACAGGTTTCTGATTTGCTTCGCAGCATGTGCCCACAAGTGAGTGCCTTAGCTTAATTCGGTCCAGTCCCCTTTCTCTGACAACTCCGTCCTGCTCAGAAAACAAAAGACGAGATTTGGGTGGCAGGCAGGATGCACTTACTGTGAGCCAAAAGTCTGCCACGCGCATGGCTCGTTGGTTGGTGTCTCCCAGCTTCCCATAGTCGATGAGCTGTGAGGACAGGGCATCACTGATCCAATCCGACCAAGAAACGAGGTGCCAATCTTACTCCTCTAATGCTGAACTGCAGCCCACTCACTCCACTAGCTAAACTTCTCAATAACTGGGAACACCCCTAAGCCCGCAGCCCTTAACCGGTCTTCCGTTCGAGGGGCCTGAGGAGTTGGCTCAGCTCAGCATCCCGTAGGCTTCAGATTTCGGGGGCAGGGCTTACCAGGGCGGTCCCATTCCCTCCCCAAATCCAGCCACACCCACCCCTTCAGGCCAGACCCGCGCGGTGGACCAGAGCGGGACGACCCGCCCCTGACCTTCTCGGCGTAGCCCCTCATCTCGTCCACACGCGCCCACGGCGCCTCGATGCGTTCGTGTCGCACTAGTCCCGTGAGCAAGTTCCGCAACAGGTGGATGCGGGACTCGGGACCAAGTCCCAGGCGGCGGAATACTCGGCCATGGGAGATGGCGGTAGCTACCGAGAGCCGCATGTTCCCGGTTAGTCCCCAAGCCCTCGGAGCCGGAAGTGGAAACTCCGGGAGGAAACAGTGCCGAGAGGCGGGTTTAAGACGACGCATGCGCTGTGGTTAAGTGCGTGGTGGACGTGTTTGCGCATGCGTTGTAGCTAAGTCAGGGCCTGCCTCGCTGGCAACCTGGGGAAGGCGAGAAGGGTTGACCTCTTCGAGAGGCGGCGAGCTGGGCGTGCTTCAAGCGCCGCGAACGCTCCAGTCGGTCGGGGAACCGGGCGCCCCCTAGTGAGGGATGAGCCGGCCGTCGGGGTCCTCCTGCGCTGCCTCAGCGTCTTCCGGCCTGTGGAGCGATGACAGCTCCGCCGCGGAGCCTGCTGGGAAAGGGAGTATCTGAGGCGCCCGGCGGGGTCGCGCTCGGGTGCTGGCGGCCCGGCCCCGCCCTGGACCGTGGCGAGCGGGCGCGTCTGATAGGCCCGGGGCGTCATTTTTGACAAAAATTATTTTAAGCAGTAATGGTGAAATGAAAGGAATAGCAATGATGTTCAGTTAAGAAACACAGATAGTGAAAACTTTCTTTTGTTGAGGTAAGTACATTCTAGTTAAAAAAAAAAAAACAGCACTAAAAGGAAAAGTAATGGATTCATACATTTATATTACATCAGTGTATTTTTTTTTTTTTTAAAGGGAGAAAACATACGTCGCATTTATGTGTTAAAGTGACATACAATAACATTATGGTTTCTGTTTTGGAGCCTTAATGTCTGCAAGTTTGAAATGAGTATTTAAAAATTGCTCCTTGTTATGGGTTGAATTGTGGTCCCCCACACATCCTGCAAAGGATGTGTTAAGTCCTAACATCCCCCACCCTCCTCCAGCTCCCCTCCGGTACCTCAGAATGTGGCCTCATTTGGAAGTAGGGTCATTGCACATGCAATTAGTTAAGATAAGGTGGGTCTTCCTGGAGTAGGGTGGGTGTCTAGTCCACATGACTGGTGTCCTTATAAAAAGAATGGAGATGGAGAAAGGACACACTAAGTGAAGACAACCTTGTGAAGACAGACACACTGGAAGGAACACAGGTGAACCAGAAGGCAGAAATCTGAGTTAGGCAGTTGCAAGCCAAGGATCCTCAAAGATTCCTGGCAAACGCTGGAACCTAAGAGAAAAGCATGGAACAAATTTTTTACTAGATCCTTCAAAGGATGTAGGACTCAGCCAGCACATTGGAGCTATGAGACAATACATGTCATTTGTTTTATGCTGCCCAGTTGTGGCACTTTGTTACAGAAGCACTAGGAAAGTTATGCACCTGTCTTCACATATTCATGTTTATTAGTATACTTAGAACTTGTCACTCTGCCTTCACTCACAGGTGACTAGAGAACACTTCTTGTTAATTTTGAAAGTTCCTTTTGTTTGAAGCACAGATAACAAATAATTAGGAAACATGGATATTTTGGTAGAAATTTATGCAAATCGCACTTCAGAATAAATTCCAGAAACTACAATACCATGTCTTATTTCTTTGGTATCAAATCTTGCAGCTTTCAGTGATATCCACAATTAAAAATTCACCATAACTATCTATTGGTAAACATTTCTGAAGACCTTTTGTGAAAGTTGGAGTCAGTGAACATTGCCACTGACATTATTTGAGCCATTGCTTCAGAAGGAATGTTGTCTTGGTGAAAATGTATAGGACTACAGATTGTCCTTTCTTCCTTTATTTTTGGCCATCTAAGACCATCATCTCTTGTCCCCTCCGGAAGTCTTCAAAATCTGAATCTTTTTTGTATGTCAATTTCTTTACATTTTGCATAGTTAGTGGATTTCTCCAGGATTTTTTTTGTGTTCAAGGAACAAGTTTAAACCTTGTTGTTTTACTATATGTTTTTCAAAGCTAATTTTGGCTGATTGCCAATATTATTGTGTCTGATTGACCTCATTTAAAACTTCACCTTACTAAGAAAAGAAAAGTCAGGAAGGAAAAGTCTCATACAACTAAGATTGTTTAAGTTTGCTAACTGTAATGGCAGGGCTGTGTTCTCTCACAAGGGTTGGAGTCAGAAAATGTACCTGAAGTGAGTTTGAAAGATTGTAAATTCTTAAGAATTTACTGTGAAAGTACTGTATGTGGCTGAATTTAACTGTGTAACTGATAATTCTGGAAATTAACTTCCATGTAGAGTGAAATTATTTTAGTGGATTAGTTTTAAAAAGTGATAATTTGAAGCCTACATATGTAGGTTACTCAACACAAAACACAGCAATTTTTTTAGAACTTAGACCAACAGAAGATTTTTGTGTGAGAGTTATTGTATCACTAACACTCTTAGCATTGTTGTGCAAGGCTGTCGATAAGAATCAGATTGACTTTTAGTTAGTTTTATTACTCTTTTTAAATTCCTTACAGATGATTCACCTACTTAGGTTTGCATCAGGGCTGACTGCTCTTAGCTTCCTACCCTTGATATCCTATTGCTCTGAGTGTCCAGCGGAGCCCCCAGGGAAGATACTCAGATGGATTTGATGACTCTGGGTGAGTCAAGACTTGGAGTAAACCTGACTAGAGTCTAGATTGAGCTTCTGAGGAGGTGCTGGTAGTGACTATAGTTGTGGCAGAGGTGAGGAAAGCGGTCCCAAGCAGTGTTCTGGGAGGCATATGAAGAAGAAAGATCCCACCTGTAGAATAATGTACCTAAAATTTCATAGCTTCTGCTGGGAGAAATGAGTTGGACACCTGTCCACACTACTATAGAGAACCCCTGTGTGATGTGTGATATCATCAACAATGTCTATTTGTTCTTACATTCTGGTTCCTGGCACAGAACTCCTAAAACCCTTGGAATTTCCTCAGTAATAGGGATAAAGGAGCATTTTTTGTTATTCATGAAAAGTCCATTTCAACCATACCTGAGATTATGCTAATGAGGTAACTCTTGGGGGATTAGCGCTGGTCACCAGAGGAACTAGCCATGTGATTAGAGTGGTTAGAGGGTTGGAGTTGTCAGCACTCTCCTACCCCCACTTTTTGGGAGAGGTTAGAGATTAACATAATCACCAATGACCAGTAATTTAATCAATCATGCTTCCATAAAAAGCCTAAGCAGCAGGTTTTGGAAAGTTTCTGGGTTGATGAACACATTGAGGTACTGGGAGGTTCAGCATGCTCAGAGAGTGCATGGAAACTTTGCAGCCCTTCCTATATACCTTGCCCTATGCAGCTCTTCCATTTAGCTTTTTTTGAATTGTATCCTTTATATAAACCAGTAATAGTAAGTAAATCACTTTCCTGCTGTTTTAGCAAATTATTATACTTGAAGAGAGGATCATGAGAATCTCAAATATGTAGCTGGTTGGTTAGAAGTACAGGTGACACCTTGGGACTTGCAATTAGCTTCTTTGGATTGAGCCCCTGACCTATAGGGTAGGGCTAACTCCAGGTAGTTAGTGTTAGAATTGAATTGCAGGACATCCAGTTGGTGTAACAGAGAACTGGAGAATTGCTTGGTGTGGAAAACACATATGTTTGGTGCCAGAGTGTTGTAAGTAGAGAAACAAACTTTTTCCTTTACCCTGAATGACTGCATCTTGTTCTGCTGAAGCCGCCATGAAGCAGTGACCTGGGAGCCAGTACAGGGAGCTCAACAAATGTTCAGTCAGGGAAGCAATTGTCAGTTGGACCTGAGGTCAACTTTTGGTTCTGTCCTGAGAATCATGACCGTCTAGAAGTATAGGGACTGTCTCTTTCTTGATATTTATTTTTACTCTCAGGTCAACATCTTGAAACTTCTATGGAGCCAATGTTCTGGGGGAGGACTAGCCAGAGACAGAGCCTGTCTCTGGTATCAGATGGAATTGTGATCATATTAGGCTTGGTTAAAATGAGTTTTCCACAGTTAGAATCATCACTAGGATAGTGAAGATAACAATAAATCAAACATATCCCAAATGGAAACAAAAAACCTTGTAAGCAGTTAAATTTAGGAAAATAAGTTCCTGATCTATATGCAACTAAAGTTGAGGTGGTCCAGGGCTGTAGAAGGACATGGAGTTTGGATAGAAATCAGCATAACCCTATATGGTGATGTTTCCCTCTAGAAATGATGACTAGCTATTTCCAACTTGGCTTAAGTTCTTTATATGGTGTTCTTTCCCCTCCTTGCTTCATTTCCTAGTATTATTAGTGAGATGAGCTGCCTGCTGCTGAGATTACAAGGTCTTTCAAGGTCAGAGAAGGACTCTGACTCATATATCCCATTTCCTCTCCCTCTCCTTCACCTCCAACCTAGTGCTGTGCTTTTTTTTCTAAATATTTCACTACAAATTAGTAACAAAGATAAATCTGATTTATTTTTGTGTGTGTGACCCTTGATGATTTCACCTTTACTTACAACAATTGTTTATTCTCCCCCTTGGGAGGAAAAGGCAAAGAAGTAGACTTCCCTTCCCTTAGAGCCTGCAGAAGGAATGCAGCCCTGGGAATAATTTGTGTTTAGCCCTATAAGACCCAATTTTGGACTTAGGTATAGCGTTTCCACTCATTTGCTTGCTAATGGTATTAAAATATTTTGGACTTAGGTATAGCGTTTCCACTCATTTGCTTGCTAATGGTATTAAAATATGGTGACAGAAATATTAAAATTATTATTTATCAGTATAAGACTAAATTAACACCTCCAGAAATGTAAGACGATTAATCTGTTGTTTTAAATCACCAAGTCTATGGTAATTTGTTACAGCAGCAATAGGACTCTAACAGTGGGTTTCACAATGTATTTGTCAGAGTGCATTGCACATAATAGGTGCTCTGTGAATGTGTATTGAATGAATGGTCAAGCTTCCAAAATATCTGATTCTTAATTATGATGACAAGATTTTAGAAGCAAATAAGGATGTTTCTGTGAGAATTCCAGCCCAGTATGATGTGCTGTGACCAGACAGTTTTCTTCCAGTTTGTCTCCCTCTAATCTTCAAACTTGCTAACACCCCAGGCTAAAAGGTCTGGAGGTAAGTGGAAAGAGCAGTCTTTTTAGTCATCAGACTACAACAAGATTGGGGATGTTGATGTGGCAGAAGATGGCGTGGTTAGGGCTTTTCCTTAGTCCATGAGAGGCATTATTTGTCAAGAGGGAGATTAAAATTCTTTATAAAGGAAATGTATAAAGAAATAAGGCAGAGGTAATACAGTGGTACCTTGGTTTTCCAACTTCTCCATTGACGAACATTTCGGTTTACAAACACTGTCAACCTGGAAGTAAATGCTTTGGTTTTCGAACATGCCTAGGAAATCGAACGTGGCATGCAGCTTCCACTGAGTGCAAGATCCTGAGGCCTAGCTACCGGCTGTTGAGTCCTGAGCACCCGCGCAACATGGAGGTGATATTTGGGCTTATTTGGTTATTGTGTACAATCAGTCTGTGCTCATCTCATCTTAGGAGCACTCTTGCAACCGATTTGTTTTTGTGACTGTGTGCAATCAATCTGTGTTCATGTCATCTCAGGAGTCCTCTGCCAATCACCCCTTGCTGTGAGAAATGGATAAAAGCTGCAAAACCAAGGGAATCACTAACAGAACAATAGAGGTGAAGAAGGAAATTATTTCCAAACATGAAAGTGGTGTCTGTGTATGTGATCTGGCAATGCAGTTTGGTATGGCCAAATCTACAATTTGTACCATCCTAAAAAATAAAGAAGCCATTAAAGGAGCCAGTGTTGCAAGAGGTGTTAAAATACAAGACAAAGAACACAGGCAATTGAAGAAATGGAAAAATTGCTTTTTGTATGGATAAATGAAAAACAGTCGGCGGTGACAGCGTTTCTGAGAACATGATTTGTGAAAAAGCTTTACATTTGCATGCTGACCTCATCAAAAACATCCGTAGAACAAGTGCTGAGAGTGATATTTTCAAGGCAAGTAGAAGGTGGTTTGAAAAGTTTAAGAGGAGCCCGGCCGGGCATGGCTCAGCGGTTGAGTACCGACCTAGGATCCAGGCGATCGGGGTTCAATTCCTGGTCAGGGCACATGCCCAGTTGTGGGCTTGATCAATGACTCTCTCATCATTGATGTTTCTGTCTCTCTCTTCCCCTCTCCTTTCCTCTCTATGAAATCAATAAAGATATATATTTTTTTTTTAAAAAAAGAAGCTTTACACCAAAGCACTGTTCCAAAGGTGCTTTGAGGTGACCTCTGACACAGAGCTAACCCTCAGAGAGTTCTGGAAGAATCATTTCAATATCCTACATTGCTTACATCTCATAGACAAAGCACAGAGGGATATGTCTCACAGAACAATGAAGTCAGCATGGAAGAAATTGTGGCCAGAAGCTGCCCCTGAACATGTACTTGAGGATGTTGGAGAGGATGCTCCTATTATTGAGGATATTGTGTCTCTGGGAAAGCCCACGGGCTTGGAAGTCAGTAGTGATGATGTAGAGGAGTTAGTGGAGGACCACAAGACTGAACTCACCACAGAAGACCTTCAAACATTCTGATGCAGGTGGCAACTGAGGAATTGTCTTAGGAGGAGGAGGGAAGAGAAAGTGTTTCTATTGCACTGATCAAAGAAATGTGTGCAAAATGGGTTGAAGTGCAAATTTTTGTTGAAAAATATCACCCTGATAAAGCTGCTATAAGTCATGCCACTAACACTGTCAATGATAATGCTATGTCTCACTTTAGACAAATTTTAAAACATCGAAAAATTGAAAAATTTTTAGTGAGGAAAAGATCCAGTGAGTCTGAACCAGGTGTCAGTGGTGTAAAAAAATCAAGGGAAGAAATGGCAGGAGTGGAATCACCTACAGTGATTATGGAAGAGGGCTACAGAACATCTGAAGAACAGTCACTTATTGTGATTATTGAAGGGGCCCCCCCATCCAAACCATGACTATTATTGCAGGTAAGAAAAAATTACATTTTCATTTTTATCATCTACAGTACTGTTTTTACATTGTATTTGCTTATTATTACTTTTACAGTATAGTATATTGTGTTTATTGCTTTCATTGTGTATCATTTTATGGATCTGTGGTATCATTAGGTAGTAAAATTAATGTTAAATTGCTGTTTTAGGGGTTGATTTTAAAGGTCTGGGACAGATTAATCCATTTTGCATTACTTTCTATGGGAAACCACACCTTGGTTTTTGAACATTTCAGAACTCGAATATTCTTCCAGAACAGATTACATTTGAAAACCGAGGAATCACTGTATTAGTTATTGATATTCAAAATGGATTTAGCCATGTTTCACTTTGAGGACTCAGTCACAGAAATGTAGCACATCATGGTCAGGTAGAGGGAGGCTCTGGGGTTTTAACTTTACAAAGATGCCCTGAGTGTTTGTGTGCTGTGGGTGCTCAATTAAAACCCATTGGGTCCTGGCCAGTGTGCCTCAGTGGTTAGAGTGTCTGCCTGCACACCAAAGGTCATGGGTTTGATTCCTGGTCAAGGGTGTGTACCTGGGTTGCAGATTTGATCTGGTTAGGGTGCATGCAGGAGGCAGCCAATTGATGTATCTCTCACATTGAAGTTTCTCTTTCTTTCTCTCTCCCTCTTTCGCCTTCCCCCTCCCTCCCTCTTTTCCACTCTCTCTAAAAAAATAAATGAAAAAAATATCGTCAGGTGAGGATTTACAACAACAACAAGAAACCCATTGGGCTGCCACAGGCAGAGTGAGTTGACTCAACCATCAAGTAGTGTGGACTGCTGGGCCAGCTTTTGGGATGGAGGATGTGGCAATAAACTCAGGGGTTGTGCAGGCAGTGGAATGCTTGGTATAGTATCAGCAACTCAGGAACATTGTCCCTGCCAAAAGTCTAGACCCCAAGTTAACTAGTCAGTTCAGCAGTGGTATCCTGCAGAATGTTTAGCAATTATGTGTATGAAATAGGAGTGCTGAGGAGACCAGCAGGTGGCAGACGCCACAACAGGAAAAGCCTTTCTCAAGGAGAGGCTCTCTGAGTAATTAAGCATTATTTTTTCCAGTAGAGACCAAACACTTCCTAAAAGCATACTTAACTTGTCAGATTGAATTAAGTTTAAGATTGAGGCTTTAATTTTTTCCTCCTGCTAACTAGTGAATGGCATTTGAGAGGAGTATTACATTCCAGACTAAAATAAGGTGAGTAAAATATTTCTCTGCATCATCTGAACTTTATTGTGCCCTTCTGCAAGGTCATTCAGATTTCTTCTTGTTTCCTTGTCTGTCTTTGAGTTTGGAAAGTTTTGAGGGAATTTAAACTTGTATCCATAGCCCACTTGTTCCCATGTGATTCTCCCTTCTTTCCTTTCAGGAGAATGCTCTCATGACAGGAAGTTTACCATAAATACCCCCTTTCAGCATTCCTTACTCAAGATTCAGTACATATGAGCCCTATGATAAATACAAGCTATATAAAGAAGGAAAGGCTGGCCTTGGCCTACACAGGGAGCAGGAGAAATAGGGAAATGGGCATTTAAATGAATGGTTCTTATAAATAACCCTTTGAAGAAAAAGGAGCAGAGACTAATTTTTATACTGACTCTTCCTAGGCCTGTGCCTGTGAATCCACCCCTGACCCCCAATCAGTTATAATCTCTTCATCTTTGGCTAATAGGCTCCCTTGCGTTTCATGCCACTTACCATATTTTATTTTGTTCTCTGTTCATTTTTTTCCTGCCAGCCTGTGTATATCTTGGGAAGAAGATCTATGTCTAATTCACTTTGTAAAGCTCTGGATCCTGGCAAAATTCTAGATACACAGGAATGTTGAGTGTGAAACAGTGTCAGTCTTAGCCTGTGGAAAGATATATGTTCAAGGATGTTAATTGCAACACAATTTATAATAGTGAAAATTTAGGAACCTGGTTGCCAATCAGTAGAGATCTGTTTAAGTACAAACAAAGGGATATTATGCAGGTATTAAAATTATTAAAATAGACCAATATTGTTGGTCTCAAAAGCTGTCCTTAGGAAATTTTTGAATGGAAAGGTGATTATAGGGTAGTATGTATACTATACATTATTATATATGCACAATTATACATATTTAACTATGGTTCCATATGCCTGCAAGTATTGTCATGAAACTGTTCACAGAAGTTCATCTGGGGGTGGGATTTTGTGTGTTCTTAATTTCCTTTTGTATGTTTTTCCACAATTAAAATTTTTTTTTCAATGAATAAATGTTATTAAAAGTGATGGGCACACCATGCACTGTGCAGATGATGTTTTATTGAGTTGTACACTTGAAACTTGTACCCCAATAAATTCAATAAAAAAAGAAAACAACAACAAAGATTTTTTTAAAATTCCATCAAAATCTGATTGTGCAGACTTCCCTGTAGATGGCCAAGCAGTAGTTTTGGCAGGGCTCTTGATTGGCAGGTTTGCAGGAGATGACAGCCAGGACCATGTCTGAACCATGTTTTGCAACCAGTATGACAATGATGTCAGTGTTTGGAGCTTTCAGGGCAGGATTCATCAAATTGAATAAGCAATGGAATCTGTCAACCAAGGTTTAGTCACAGTTCTGCAATAAAAAACCCATGCAGTGTTGGTTGCATTGCAGAGAGCACAGTCAGAACTTTTAGCTCATCAGAAAAAAATTCTCCATATTAACAACCATATTGGTATCTCAATTGTGGGACTTAACTGCTGGCGCTATACTGTTATGTAATTTTATGTGCCAGGAGTGTTTAGATTCCAGATTTGTATTTGATAGATCTCTTCCCATGTCTCATCTTGTTTCTCTAATTGGAAGCAAGACCCAGATACCAAAGCAAAGATATGACCAAAGACCATATAGTGTTGGGCTGCTTATTGCTGGTTCTGATGATATGGGCCCTCATATTTTCCAAAGCTGCCTATATGCTAACTATTTTGACTGCAGAGCTATGTTCATTGGAGCTTGTTCTTAATCAGCTCATATTTACTTGGAGAGACATATGTCTAAGTTTATGGAGTGCAATTTGAATGAACTGGTTAAGTATGGTCTGTGTGCTTTAAGAGAGACAGTTCCTGCAGAGCAGGACCTAGCTACAAGGGATGTTTCCGTTATAATTGTTGGTAAAGACTTGGAGTTTATGATTTATGATGATGATGATGTGTCTCCATTCCTGGAAGGCCTTGAAGAAAGGTCACAGAGAAAGGCACAGCTTGCTGAGCCTGCTGATGAACCTGCAGAAAAGGCTGCTAAACCAATGGAGCATTAAGTGATAATCCCCCAGTCTATACGTGTATTATCAAATGTGTAAGAATGCAGGAACATGTACTGAGGACAGTAATCTATACTTTGAACCAAAAGATGCAGTGGTAGAATGGTATGCTTTAGGAATCAGTCCAAATGTGAGTTTTTTCCAAGCAACTTTACTGAAGCTATCTAATGGCATGCATTCTTCTTTGTGAGCATCTGTATAATCATTTTCTAGAAAATACAGTTATCTGTACTAATGTTTTTATATGAAGAACATTGTGTCTGTCGTTTTAAAGACAATTGTGAAATAAAATTGTTTCATCTGCTGGAAGAAAAATCTGATGGCCTTTCCCCATTATGCACAGGACAGTCTCCCACAAAAAAGAATTATCTGACCTCAAGTGTCAACAGTGAAGTTTAAAAGAATATATCAGAATTAACCTCATAAAGTTCTTTACCACCATCTGGTGGTTAGACAAAGGCTTGCAACTTCACTGTAGCTTCACAGGGAATTCAGATGATTGAAGTAGGGCCTCAGAAATAAGATGGGAAGCCATAGGATGGATAGCTATAGTTTGAACAGGAGTCGGGGAAGAGCAAGGAAAGGTCGTGGTTGAGAGTGTCTGTGATGATATTACTAAGACCAATATTTGGTTGTGAGGCTAGCATTCTGTTAAACCCTACATTAGATTTCTAATTTTCAATTTCACTGTGACTCTAGAGACCCAGAATAACTAGATGTTGAGGCAAGAAGGGCATCCATTTGCAAGGCCTAGACTT